TTTCCATCCGGAGCTCCTTCACGGGACTTCACACTTGTAAACAATCGCTACATTGGGTTCGCGCCATTCACGCGGCTCTCAGTCCCGCCCCGACTCGTCGGCGCTACCAAGCCGACCAATCACAGAGCTTGTGCTACGCGGTTGCGACGTGTAGTTACATTTTTTGAGAGGTGCACATCAGTGACGGCCACGGCGAAGGGCTATGCATCAGCGCCGTAGCATACGCCAGTGTTTGACGCAGAAGTATAAATCAGCCTTAAGCCTCATTCACACTACGAGCAACTCGCAGCATACGCGAGTGACAGCAACCGTTGGTGACCAGGTGGGCGTGTCGAGCATTGTGACAAAGTTGAAAATGCTTCAACTACATGCAAATGATGAGCGACTTTCTTGAGTGACAGCCAACAGGATCACCAGCAGAGCTCACGGGATCCTCTCTCAGGTTGCTCAAGGGTTAGTTGTATTCTCCGTGCTGTAGACCTACACAGGTCTTTTTAGTTGATGCAAGCAAACATCAAGTTTTTAGTAAGAGTTTGACATCTAGCCACAGCGATTTAAGACTCGGATGAAGCACCAGTATACTACTCAGGGGCTGATTTACCTAATAAGCAAGGTAAGTGGCCACTTAGGCCCTGTTTACACTAGTGCGTTTTAGTTTTAAAACGGCGTTTTAGAATGAAAACGATCCGTGTCCACACTCGCGTTTCACCCAGCGTTTCTGAACTGCTCACCGTCCACACCAAAACGCTGAAAACGCGCATCACGTGACCACACAGACACTCTCGGGCAAGCGCTGCAGCCCATCTACCCAGATGAGAGCTGTGCTAGTCGGACTCCTCATCAAGCATCTCCCGCTGGATCTAATCTCACTATATTTATTAAACAGGATATTTCATTCATCTTGTTGTCTTTATCTAACGACATATTCCCTGACTTTGGTCATTGGAATCTATTACTTTTTCTCAGGTAACGTGTTTTGGCTAAGCGCAAAGATAAGTTAATGATTAATGTAACCACGTAGCCTATTCTGTATATTGACTGATCGCTTGCCTTTATTTCCTATAATGTATAAACTTATTGTATGTTATACTTTTATAAATGGCCATTATCGATTATTAAAACTTATATTCAGCAAAAGAAAGGGTGTGTTTCGTATTTTCACTGAAATTGAAAGGAGGCAGTTGTTATCGGCTCCGTTTAGTTATAAATATCCACACAGTGAAGATGACGCTCATGCAGCACGACGCCTCAACATTTCTGCTGTCTGTTAAGTTGCTAATATTAAAATGAAAATAGGCAGTTCCTTAAATCATGTTTACATTTTATTGTTGAGAAAGTGAAACAACGTAGCCAGAGTGATGTGAATGAAGTTATAAAGTACACTGTTCCCTTTAAAGATTTACCCGTGTCCTCTGTATAGTCTGTTGTCCATATCAAACTGAGAAGAAGAGACTGCAGCCTTGATCAAACTTGCGAAGTCTGAACTTACAAGGAGAGAATGCAGGACTGAACCGTGTGTGTAGGCTACTTAATATTCAGGAAAAGCCCCAATCAGAGAGGCGAATGTCTGCAGCCCCGCCTCCGTTTTCAGATGTCTCCGTTTTCCATCATCCACACTGAGACGGAGCAGCAGCGTTTCAGAATGAAAACAGCCTCTCCAGCGTTTTCGAAACGCTCCGTTTTCGGCACTCGAGAACTCCGGCGTAGTGTGGACGGATGGCGTAACCGTAGCAAAACTTATGCGTTTTCAAACTAAAACGCATTAGTGTAAACGGGGCCTTAGAGCCCCAGGAAATCTGGGGCCCCTTAACAAATATTTAAAAGTAAAACTTATACCTATATAACATCGTTTTCTACCATATTTTGTATGGTGAGAGTTAAACAAATACAATTTTAACAGAATGAAATTTTATTTAGTATACAATCAAATATAATATTATTATAATACTTTAATGTTATGTAATAATATTACAAAATAAAATATCCATCATGGAGCAGTCTAGCAGTCAAATGTATAAAAAATATATATATTTATTATTTTTATCTGTTAATTAATTTTAAGAAAAGTAATCATTTAAAATGTAGAGATTGCATTAAATGTAACATAAGATTGAGTGACATAAAAAAAATAACATCAATATAAATAAAAAATAAAAGTAAAAAGGGTGCATTTTAAGAATTAGGCCCCATAGCTGGAATTGATTAGGGCCCCAAAATCCCTAAATCCGCCCCAGAATATACTATTTTGTATTCTTGTTTTTTTTTACATGCAGTATTGCATTACTTTACATTACTTTCATTTTATTTATATTTATACTTTATACATAAAATGAACGTCTCAGCTTAGTTTACAGTGATCAGTGAGTTATTTTAGTACTACAATTCTCCAACCGGAAAAAAAAAGGTTGGTTGGTTGGTTTATTGGCTGTACATGTAATCGTCAAAACTATATCTGCTGTGTTAATGATGGAGCAGTGCATGCTCAGAGCAAGAGAAGGCCACAACGTTCCCACTTTCAACAAATCTGGCCAAAATTATGTTGCTCCATTCCTCGCTCTGCTCACATACACAGCAAAAATTCAATCCATACTGTGATAAACTGCTGTTTGTCTTTTTGACAAGACATTTTATCAATTAATTTAACCAAACCTGGGTTCGTTTCTCTTTCCAATACAACACATTCTTCAAATTCTGGCGATTTATTTGATGTCTGTTGATCATGGTTTAATAATACCATACAAAGCAATCCCATCTCTTCACAAAACCTTGATTAAACCACTCTATTTACATAAATTATATTTTAAAACAATGCTTTTTGAATGGGAAATAAGCCTCTCTTCAGACTAGGGCTGGGCGATATGGCAAAAAAAATAATCACGATAATATTCTTCATATCAGTCGATAACGATAATTATCATGATAAATGTCAAATCTTTATATCTAATAATTTTATAGGATTTTCAGCATGCCAATTGCAGCTGATTTAACACATTTTGTGAAATGTTTTAGCTGTCTGACAATATAAATAATAAAGTAACAAACAAAAGAACAATCTTAATTAGCATTTGCTGTTTAATTTTTTAACAAACAAAGACATTACCCTACAAGTTATTGGATATTATTGTTTAACATAAAAAAAAATAAAAATAACAAGTAACAAGTTTGAAAAAGTAAAAGGGGAGTCAACTGTCACAGAATTTTCAGTTTTGGATGAACTGTCCTTTTAATGGTGAATTTAGGGTGAAATATCTTTTAATATATTTTATTTAGGATGCTAACAATTACTTGATGATTGATTGATTGTCAATAACGCTTTAATCGATAGACCTTATCGATGATTGATTAAGCATGGACATTTTGAAAGTTTAGTTATGCTTTGCGCTGTGAGACGCGTCCATGCATTACATCATAAAGTGTGTGCAGTTTACATGACTTATGGATTCACTCTCTTAACATCGCATATTGTGGGACGCATAAAATACCTGTTATGTGCAGATCTTGATTATATCTGTGGGTGTTTTAATTTTACCTCACAGACTGGCACGAATAGGCCTATGCAGACTCTCATTTTATAAATCGCGCATCATGACGAGACATGCAGGGAGCGTCTCCATTCACTCAACGTTTTTCTGAGCTCTCTCATCCTTCAGACCGAGCTTATTCTTCCAAAGAAATCTAAGAATACTATCAGTGCTGCGAATAGCTTGTAAAGACTGTCCAGCTCATGCTGCATAAAAAAAAACAGGCTTCGTTAATTAATTAATAGATTGTTTTGGTGCTAAAGCATATACTATAGCGTACTTGTTTTAAAGCGCTTCACCTCAGATGTTGTTGGTTCTTCTTGTACATTTGAATTAAGTTACACATTATCATTCATTCATTTTCTTGTCGGCTTAGTCCCTTTACTAATCCGGGGCCGCCACAGCGGAATGAACCGCCAACTATTCCAGCACATTTTTACGCAGCGGCAACCCATTTTTACTTCCAGCCGCAACCCATCTCTGGGAAACTTCCACACACACACATTCATACACTACAGACTTTTTAGCTTACCCATTTCACCTGTACCCAATGTCTTTAGACATTAAACATGGTGAGAACATGCAAACTACACACAGAAACACCAACTGAGCCAGCCCAGGCTCGAACCAGCGTCCTTCTTGCTGTGAGGTGAACGTGCTACTCACTGCGCTACCGCGTTGCAAAGAAAAATATATAAAGCGTATATATATTTTTTGTTCATGTCTGTGGGTGGATGATGCTTTGCTCTGTGGAAAATAAGGATTTAATTAATGATCCACAACTGTTGTAAACATCTGTCATATCTTTGCTGCATTTTTAATGTCATAATTTTAAAGATTATTTCTTGAGCATTTCTCCTCTGTGATTATGTCCTTCATAAAGGCTGGTTCTTCTACCATCGATAAGAACAACAGTGGTTTTAAAAATTCCAAAGAAAATATCATAATATTAAAAAGTATACAACAAAATATTCTATCGATGTCGTAACAATGCCCTTAAATGATGCAGCCTGTAGTTTGCAGAAAGCATCAAGTGTTCATCAAGTGTCTGTCATATCTTTCGTCTGTCTTTTCTGTCTTTACATTGCTGGGTAGTTGTGATGGTTTACCAACACTGATGGTGTACCAACACACTGTTTGGGGCTGTTGTTTGTTTTTCTTACCCCTCCAAGTGCAACTTCCACTGTACGGCTGTACACTTGTACTGTGTGCGGCATCAGGAAGGGCAGGCTGCAAATATACTGTGCAGCATCGAACACTAATCAAACTGTCATTATCGCTTTATCAGAAAAACATTTATCATGATAATTCTTGATATCCTATTATCGCCCAGCCCTAGATCAGACATAAATATCCTGATTCTTACAGGGTTTGCAACAAAATGAGGGCAGGTAAATGATAAAAGAATTTCCATTTCTAGGTATTTAAACTTCCTAAATAAAAATAAATGTGAGGTGTGCAGTGGGAAGCCAGTCTTACCGCAGTATGTGGTAGATGTGCTGGTCTGAAGTTCATGGTAGGCGCCCTTTGTTTCTGGATCTGTTGCTGTCGCATCATGTTTAGGATGGCCTGGTTCGGTTTGTTGTGGTTCTGTGTGGTCGGAGGGCCCCTGGGTGCCCCTGGTGGTCCGTCGTCATAGTGAGACAGTGGTTTAGTGTTGTTGAAGTCCAACATGGCTGCCTGGGCACCTGGGTTGGAAGGATGGCCGAGGGGCCCTGTGGGTGCTGCTGGGTGACTTAACATGTTGGCATGGCCACCAGGCTGCATGTAGCCAGCTGGAGCACCCGCTTTGGGAGAACCTTTGTTTGGCATGAGTAGGGTCTTGGGATTGGGAAAGTCTTGAGGGTACAAAGAAGGACTGGTGGGCTTCTCAAGCCCAAACGTACCACCCATTTGACTTTGGGTGGGAGCATTTTGGGGCCAAGATGTAGAGTGGCTGGGCTGTTGGTGGAACTTTGTTGGTTGCTGTTGTGGAGGTTTCTGTTGTGGTGGCTTTTGAACTACATGCTGCTGACTGTGTAAAATCGCTCTCTGCTGAGCCAACTGCTGCAGCTGCTGAGCAGGGGACAGGTCTTTGGGTGGAACGGGCATCAAGTGATTTGGGAGTGCTCTGCTCTGAATAGACCCCTGTTGCGAATGCTGTGGAACAGGCAGGGCTGGTGAAGTGGCCGGAGCCGTAACAGGAGAGTTGGTGTGAAGCGGAGGTCCCGATGAAGTCGGTCTCATCTGAGGTGAACCATTGCAGGAGTCCTGCTCAAAGGCAGAGGTAGCCGTGGCAGGAGAAATTTCAGTCTTCACGTTAGGCAGATCTTGTGATATCAAGCTCTGAGCTGCAGCAGATGTGAGCTCTGGGTCTTTGCGATCTCCAAAACTAACGCTGAAGAGCTCCTGGATGTCCTCGTAGGGTACAGAGCGATTGAACTCCTCCATGATCTCACTCCAGTCCTGATCATTCAGGTTAAGGTCAGGGAAGAGGCTGTTGTTTCCATTTGCTCCTCCCTGGGGAAGTATGCAGGACAAGGCATCATCTACCGGCTCCTGCTTTGGTTCTTTCAGACGGAAATCAGACTCTGAACCACGCACTGCACCATTGTCTTTTAAACTTGCTCCGTTGTGCTCGGAACCGACCACTCTGTGGTTCCCATTGGCCATCATGGCATCAGTGTTCACATTATGTTTGGTGTCCAAGGGTGAGAGAGGAGGCACAACACCATTTGAGACCCCATTAAGACCACCCATTGCATCTTCAACACAGGACTTTTTATTAGGGGGGTAGCCATCGGTGAAACCATTCACCTGGTCACGGCCTAAAGGTGATTCAGCACTCTCCAACTTCCTCTTCACAGTCTCCTGTAACTGCACATAGAAGACAAAACAAATAATTTAGTTAACAAGCACTTTGTGCAGTATTTCACTTATTTGTTACAGATTTGTACAACGTGGCATGCAACGATCCTTAACTTTTGCTGGATTAACCAGACTTTATCAAGTTGTTGATATTTTAAGATCAATATTTTGTATGATGTACTAAGAACCTGATTGTTTGCGATGTGATCACATAAAAAAAAACTCTGCAAAAGATGCTCCTACTGGAAGATGAGACCAAAATCAATGTTTTTCTATTTTTTATTAGACACTAGTCAGATTCCATGGTTTTATTACAGTAATGATAATAAATGCATGGTTGAAAGTACGGTTACATAGTTTGCATAAAAGGTTTAATCAAAGTTTATCCTAAGTATTTAATACAAAATATTGGTCTTAGGACATCCAGGACAAATTAGGGCATAATTTACCCACTTAATCCCGGTCACTATATGAAAAAAAAAACATCTGTTGCTGCTTCAGTTTCATTCTACCATCTGTTTTTAAGATTAAGAACTACATGCGGTTCATTAATCATATGCAATATTTGTTAGTAAAATGTAAATATTATATGACCAAGATAGTTTTTTTTTTTTTGTACATTAAATGGCAATTGGTTGTAAAACAAGTTCATATTCTTAACAGCTTGCTTGTGAAAGAGAATTAATCCAGCTTCCAAAACCACTGCCCTAAATAAACTATTATCTTATAATAGAGACGGGATGATAACCGCTATCAAGGTACACTGACGTCTGGAAGAGTCAAGGTTTTAAAATGGCCAAAAATTTCTGCTATAACGCTCCTATGCCGTATGTAAGATTTTTTTAGATGCTTTTTAAGACAACAGTATCTCAAACAGAAAATATATCCAAAAAGGCCATTTTAAATTGTAAAGAACTCTGTGTTTTTGAAACTAGACAGCAGAAATCAATGATTCATTTGAATTATTAAGCCTGACATGTTTACAGCTTCAAAATAATTTAAATGCTTCTTAACATAAAATATTGTTTTCAAAAGGGGAAAAAAGTTTTTGTTTTTACCCATATAAATTATTATTATTATTATTATTATTATTATTTTTAAGAGCAGACATCCCAATACTGTGAAACTGTGATATTTTTATCCAAGGTTATCTTACTATCAGAATCTTATACCAGCTCACGCCCAATTTTTAATATAATATTTTACACATTTTTTTTTACTTTTGAATTTTAATTATTTACGTATCTCCTATTTTACCACTTGGTATAAAAAGACAAAAAAGACATTAAAAGATTAACACACTAAAATAATAAATATTTGTTAGTTATGACTGGGATCTATGTTGATAAAAATCAATATTTATATACATATATTAGGGTGTCAGACGTAGACAATTCGGTATTGGTTCAGTAACAGATCATAACCGGTTATTGTGTGCTAACGTCATTTAACTCATATTCGCTATGTGAGGGTAGAATACTATGGCGAGGGAGGCAAACACGAGTAAGTAAAATGCAGAAACTCTGCACAATTCACTGCGTGTGTTTGCTGGACAGTCATTCACAAGCTATGTTTCCATCCAAAAATGCGAATTAACTTTATGCGCAAAACTGGATTTATCGCATAAAAGAGGTGTGAATAAAACAGGGTTTCCATCCAACGAGACAAAGCAAACAAAACCATCACTTCCTGTTTAACTGGCACCAATTTTCTACAGTAAAAACAGAATTTGCTGTAGTGGGAGAAGCTGCATAAATCTTTTCTTCATTTATTAAATGACATTTCTGGAATGTGTTCGGTAAAGGTGTTTTCATCGTAGTTTATGCACATCTTTTCTTATTGAATAAAAAGTTATCCTACTCAGATATGTGTATACATTTTTTTATGATGTTTCCATCAACCGTTTTTTTTTTCAATGCGCCTAAAAATGGTGGATGAAAACATAGCTAATGACACAGCAGAAGCCCCCATTTCACTGCTGTGAAAAAAATGAAAGAAAACGCCATTTTTTTCCTTTCTCTCACTGTGGACTTTTGACCTGCTGGTGTGACGTTTCCTCTCCTCTCTGCTGTTATAGTGATACCCGTGTATCCAATCCAGAGCAAATTTTCATTACCGCATCTTTCATGGATTAGCTGTAATCGCCGCTACCGTTTATCAAGGATACTTATCTGTAAACATCCCCAGCCTGTTAGAACCAAATCGCAGTTCTTTTTGTTGAGCGGTTTTTAACAACAACTCGCTCAACAACGCTCAAAAAGCAAGCAGGATAATATTTACGTTTGTTTATTTGCTTTAAACGAGCATGTTGTTCTGTTCATGTACTTGAGTTTTGTTCGATGCATTCAAAAAAAAAAAAATGTTTTCTTTGAGCATGTAAAAACTAAAGGTACAGTTTACATATATCTGACTGCTTGTATTCAAGGACAATATTGTATTACAAATATATGTTGCATCATGTGTATTTATAACTTGTACATTAATACAAAAATTGTTGTGGTGAAAAGTAAAATATAAAATTGTGTATGGAAAGTATCGTCAATGCACCTTGATACCGAATTGAACCAAATCGAAGGCATGGTAATTGTAACCGAATGAAACCATGAGACCAGTGTAGGTTCACAACTCTACTATATATTATTTCATGACCATTTACGACACTTTAACCTTAAGTAACTTTTTTTAAAGAAAGCCGACCATGGATTAATTGTGATGGCGTCATTAATAAACCTGACAAATGTAAAATTATATTGTACAATACAAACAGCAAGTCACTGAAACTGAAGTTGCACTTTTTTTCAATCACAAAAAAAGTATGTGCTGCATGATGGAAGCTACGACATAACAGTACAATTCATTTACAAGTTCTGGCTGTTCAATGGAAAGTGAATGAGGTTTGAAAACAAGAATAGATGTGCCGTTTTTATCCAGTCCAAAGAGCTGAGTGAGCAGTGTAGAGCTGATCTATGGTCTGGCTCAGGGTGAAGGCATGAACTCCCCCCTCTCAGCCGCAGTTTCTGAACCTGAAAAACTGGTCTCTCTGTAACAGCTACAGTCACTTTTCTGAGACCGCCCCGCATAGGCGGCACACCCACCAAAAACGTCCTTTCAAACATGCTAAAACTCTTCCCAAAGCAATTTTCTGCCGACATACGCCTCTTAATCTGCACTCTTACTTTCCCTCCATCTTCTTGCTTCCCCCTCCCCGACTCGCAAGCACCTCCACCGCAGGCTTGAGCCACTTGAGTCTAATTACCATGTGTATGAGCGTGTATCCCACAACAAAAGAGTCAGTGCTCGGCCCACGTAGGGGAGCGGGAGTGTGCCGAATTCCAGTCCGTGCACAGCTCAAGCTCTGCTTTCCCTTTATGCCCTGCCTGCTACAATGGACAACCCACGACTGAACGGGAGGAAGGGGGGGCAGCAGTTTTGGCTCAAGGGCAGAGAGCGGCGTTTCAGCACACTGATCAATATTAGAGCAAAGACTGGGGTCAGTAGACTCAATGCTTTGTCGCTGCTTTGAGGTTACTGCTACCTCCCCAAAAAGGGGAAGTGTCCAACAAGTGTTTAACATCCTTTAGAGAAGCTACTAATTAGTCCTTTAACGGCTGAGAACAGCCAAAACTCTGCAAGTGCAATTCAAACCAGCTGTTCATTTATTAGTGCTTGTTGCCAAGATGAAGTACTAAGAAACCCAAGTATTAAACTGTGGTATGCCACTTGACGTGAGCTAGACACATGAATGAAACGTCAAACTGTGCTACTTTTTTTAGGCGTTCTGTTCTTTAATAAACTTCCAAAGAAAGAAAAAAAACAAGTACACTAAAGGAGGGACTCAAGCATTACCGGTGGGGGGCAGGCGATTTTTATTGTGGCTTTCAAGTGACCACGTAGCAACCACATAACAGCTCCTGGTAACTAATTGCAACATTGACTATGTTTACATGGACATCAGTAATCAAATGATTTGCCTTAATCTGAATAAGACAGTAACATAATTAAGGTGTTTACATGAGTTGCTTTTTGAATGTTCCCTTCATATTCCCGTTTTACGTGTTATAGCATAGAATTCGATAAACAGAGTCACCACAATATCCACATTTCCTCCGTGGTTTCATTTTTAATTTGTCGATTTTAACTGCAGTTCGGCACTTTCACTTTCATTCAGGAACATTTCATGCATGCCCCCTGTGACAAACGAGATCTTGGATGAGAGTATGAACTGCTGGAGGAATGTTGTTGTAATGAAATTTGATAGGCTACCACATGTCATATGGGGGAAAAAAACTCCACATTTCGAGATGCAAGGTGCTCCTTCAATGACTTTGTAGAATAGTGTCAAACAGCCCTGTGTATCCTGTTGCAAAATGCGGCAAAAATCCTTGACGACTTCGATAATTCGACTAAAATCGGCATACTCCGCATGTCATAATTTGATTTCTGTTCAGTTCCATTATGACTAGTCCTGTCACAAGAATCAATACATCAACTCATGGCACAACACGTGGACATGTCCTAAATCATTTTTAGTAAAGCAATAGTTATCACCCATACATAAAAAACAATTCTAGCCACATTAACTCATTGTGCAACTTGTATATCTCTATTGGAGGTGTCTGTCAGTATGGTTAAAAAAAAAAAAAAAAAAAAAACTACAGTATTTGCTATAAATTTTTTTTTTTTTTTTTTAATTGGACATTTGTAAAATCTATAATTAATACCTATTTGTTTAGGATACACGTTTACACTATCTAAATCCAATGTCTAATTATTAAATTGTTAAAATGACTCATTAAATTAAAATTTCTTTTGAATAAAAAAAATTATGTGGTCTTTGGAAGAGTGTACTTGCACTATGACGTTATTATAGTGTCAAAATGGTCCTAAATTGACAATAATATTGTATGTCGCAATAAAGTTTAGTGCTAAATATCATACCACAAAATATAGAAATCGTGACAGAACTAATTATGACCTTAATCAGATTAAATAAAAAATATATATTCCCT